CTAGAACAAGGCCCTGGGGGTTGCCGAGGTCATAATCGGTAATAATTGTAGTCATAATAAGCAGATCGATTATCTGCTCTGGTATTAGTGGGTATGATGGGATGATGAGCTTCTGATGGAGTGTGCTCTAGTTGAGGGGGTAGAGTGAACATCGGTTGCAGGCGTGTCAAAGATTCTGTTGGCAAAAGCCTGGTAATGCACCTGCTTCGTGGGTGAAAGCTTGATTGTTTTTAACCTGCCATGTCATATAAGGACACATCGTGCATGGAGTACTGAGATATAACCAATGCTGTGGGGTGTTGCTCATTCAGTATGTACTGGGGCCTTGCTAAATATTTTTCCTTGCTATGCACCAACATATTGTGTATCATTGAGCTCTGTTGAGCAGAAAACACTTGAATATCAGAACAGGAACATTGCACCATCTTATCTTGCACACATGATGATTGTGATACCAACTGGGCACCTCAGGTCCTAACTCTTGACAGCACAGCACCTGTGCTTTATGACCATCCCAACAGATCAAAGCTAGCCATTTGCTTTGGATTTTCAAGGTAGAGGCATTGTGAACTTAGCAGCTAATAATGTCCTAAGGGACTTGTATGACTATTCATTTGCATACCACACCCCACTCACAACACCCTTTTGCCTGTTGGAAGGAGGTATTTTCAATATGCTGTTGCAATGCCTACATATTAAAGGAGCAAGTTTTTCAGGCTGATTGGGCTTGTCAAGCATGCTATTCCCAGGTTGATCCCTGCTTGCTGGGTGCATACTGGAGGTGATGACACAGGACTCTTGATTTATGATGTTGAGCCCACTAGGCAGGAAGCCTTGCTGATTATCAAAGTTGGATCAGCTCATGGCCTTAGCAAGCTGTTATTGATTTGCTCAGGCAGGTTGTGCTTTGAAACATGCCCTAATGTTGTTAATCACATCACCTTGGTCTTCCCCACTATCATCCTCCTCAACCACAGGTGACAAGTGTGATGTGCTGCATTTTTTGCTTTGATAGTCTTATGTCTATGTACACTATATAAGAGACTCTTCTATGATGTTACCATTAAGAAATCCAGTTTTAAGTGCACTACTGCATTATTTAACCCTGACCAAAGGACAGATTTGACCAGAAAGTTTGTCATGTGAGCTAGCTGATTGCTAGGCCTCATGGAACTCACTTAAAATCACTGGTTGTAGACTGAGGATGTGTTCAGTATCTTTCTTCAATGCTTCCTTTTTCTCAGATGATGGAAAGCCAAGAAGAGGAAGGTGGCATATCAGAGGGGCAGCTGAAAATTGTTCTTGTTGGAGACTCAGGCTCTGGAAAAGTAATTGTCTGTAAATTTGTTCCGTAACTTTGTATAGCTGGCACTTGTTCTTTTATCTCATGCCATTAAGAAACACCCATTTGAAATGAGATGTGCACAGCAAACTGGGCTGACATTAATGCACAGCAGCCCACAGCATGTGACATGCTGTTAAATTCATCACACATGACACAAAATGAAAGGCTTGGAAGCTTGCCATGCATGTCACTGATGCCATGTCACTGTATTAGATTACAGGATTATCTTCTAATCCAAATCTCACTGAACACATTGTGAGATTTGCATGGCTATTGATAATGTGGCATCCATGCACCATGTTTCGTAGCATGCAGTTGCGGTGGTATAGGGGCTACACAGTGCACAATTCATATGTTTATATACATATACCATAAACACCTGCATGCTTATGTTTATGTGTATATTGAAATTAGCACCTGCAATGATTTTACAATGAGGTTGTTGTGAAAGGAACATGCCAATATGGTACTGTACCATCAGCCTTTCTGCAAAAGAAGATCATGGTTAGATCTTTCCTACATCATTCTCTGAGCCATTGAAAAATTGTAATCTACAGAAAGGATCAAGTTGACACCTGTACTTATAACATATGAGAAATCTGAACTGGTGTTCTTTGACTGGTCATCAAGGGAACAAAACACGGGCTCGGGACACGTAGTCCACCTGGAGGGACAAGAAGAGGTGTTCTATTTACCACTATTTAGGGTAAATGTTAACATTGCTGGAAGCTGTGAGGACAAGACGGGGTAGAACTGTGTTTGGCTTTGTCCTCTTTCTATCATTATGTGGGCTCTTAGCAAAGGGTCTCGAAGATTAGGAAATTGAACTCCGTGCTAAATGCAGCGGGGCCAGACCCATCATGTCATGTATCTCGACAAGGAAAGCGTTGTTACCCTTTGGTCATTCCGGCGTGTGTTGCAACGAGCAACTAACTGAGTGGGAAAGGATGGATGGGAACAGGCAAGACATCAGTGAACGCAAATGGGATGTGGTGTGCTGTTTATTAGCTCCACGATCGTCAGTATTCGTCTTTGGCTGTTGTCAGCTTGGCTGCTGTTGTTGTCCTTGGGAGTTCATAAAGGTGTCCTATTATTAAACTGGACGAAATTTTGTACGGTAGTGTGAGTTCACGCAGGAGCTTTGTATAGTGGTCAGCCAAAGGGACATGTCAGGACGTTTCGCGCTGCAGTTTTTGGCCGTATTTTCCCTCGATGACCGCTAACCTGCGTCCCAGCACTTCAGTCGTGTTTTCAACGTGGGAGCGTCCACCATACGATGCATGGTCGCCCAGTGCCCGTTCCTGTAAGCCCTAGTTGCCGGCTTTCTCTACAGACGGCGCTATGCTGCCGGTACACCCAGGACACGTTCAGCCCGGTACACTCGTACACGTCGGGCGTGGAGTTCTACCTGAAGCGGATCCGCCTGACACAGGAACGCTCAGTGACCCTGCAGCTCTGGGATGTCGGCGGCACCTCTCTCTCTGGGGGCATGCTCGACAAATATTTGTACGGCGCCCACGTGAGTCTGCCTGCTTTCGCATGTGTCTTTGACACTGCTGACCGTGTGTAAAATGTTGAATTGCGTTAGCAGTGACATTAGATCAATAATATAAGTGTTTTGCGTCGTAAGCGTCACGCATTACTGTATCGCTGTTCCCGTTATCCAGTATTATTGCACAATTCAACCTCTGCATCGCGTTGATTTAGGGTTAATCGGGGCCTCGTAAAGTACGCGGTCTTCAGCCGCTGCCTGCGTGGAGGATGCGCAGCCTAGCAGTCCACTTGTACCCTGTGTCTCGCCGTATCAGCAATCTGCGACACAGCGAAAATGTCTCCCGCAGAAGTATGTTTGGCCTGTTATCGCTCAGCCGCGCCGTCCTCCAGGGGTCACCGCTGACGTCATCACCTCACATTAGCCTGTGTGATGTCACTCGGGACCCTGTGTGACGTCTTTTCAGCTGGCGTTGTTTGTGTACGATGTGAGCAACTACACGTCGTTTGAGAACCTGGAGACGTGGCTGATGGCGGTCACGGAGGCGACACGCCACCAGAGCCGGCCGCTCCGCCGCATCCTTATCGCCAACAAATGTGAGTGGACCGAGGCGCGAGAGCGAAGGAACCCTCGCATGGCGGGCCGGGCGCCGTCGGTGGCGCTCCGGGGCGGTTTTGTGGGGAGGCATTAGAGGACCTCGCGTAGCATCTGCCGTGGCGAAGCATTGGCACGGGACGGTTTGTGGGGTCCTGTGATCACGGTCCTTGCAGATGGCTAATGTGACCGGCAACTGCCCCCAGGCCAGGCAGTTTGCATACTTCTCGTATGAAATCGGCTCTGGGTAAATTGGTCTTCGATCGCGATGTTTTTAGACCCATCGGGGCGTGGCCAAGGCCCTGTCTCGTCCACGGTGCGGGACGGTTTATTAGACCGACGTCCGGACCGACGGCATGTCGAACTATCGATCGACGCCACTCCATCCAGCAACGTCTGGGCTTCTGGGACCTCGGGGCAGTAAAATACCGTCCTTCAAGTAATTGTGAGCTGTTTTGAAAATCGCTGCGATGTCGTGTAGCCATCAAAATCGATAAATGCGTAGCCCTCCACAGCTGCACAAGCTCCCCGCGCTTTCACGACGACCGGACGTTAAAGACATGCCGTCGATGATTTGACATGATTGGTCAAACAGTCGCAGCACCCCAAAGCAATCTGGTCAGAGTCAGCACCGCACTGGTGAACGCTTCCGGGCGGCGGCCGTGACGTAAGACAGGACACGCCGCTTCCGCCCGGGAGTCGCTCCGTTTCCGCGTCTGCCCCGCCTCTCCGCCGGCGCGGGGCGGCGGGCGGGCGGGCCCCGCCGCCAGACCACCGGCCGTGACGTCACTGCCGTGTCTGTGGCGGCCCCGACGGGGCGGCGCGGCGCCCCGGCCTTGAGACGTCGACGGCGGGCAAACCAGTTGTGAACGCGGTGAGTTGTGCGCGACCGACCTGCCGTGGCGTCCGGGAACGGAGCACGGGACGAGCGCTGCACCCTCCCTCGATGTGGAGCGTCGGTGGTCGGTGGACGGTCGCTGGAATGTACACAGTGTGACGTCATGGTTAACATGCGGTATGCTGGAGGGTTGGATGCTGTGAAAAGAGCAAGGATTTGTCCTTCTGATGCACATGACAGTGTGGGAAATGACGCCCAACTTGTATCGGCATTGCCCCAAGAATGTAATTTACGCGAATGCCGGTGAAGTTCTTCGTGAATGCGGATGTTGTTATTGTTTTGGTTTGCAGGGTCTGTGGTCGGTTCATTGCAGCTACATCGGGCTCGCATTACCTCTTACTAGGCACGTAGGCCAGTGGTGAACTCTGTTAAAGCTGGGCCAAGACCGTTGAATGTGTGCGTCTGGATTGCTTTCAGGCCCGAAATGTTTCCGTGGTTAACGATGCTGACCTCCGCGTGTGCCCCGTGCTCGCGTCCGGTCTGAGGGCGGGGGTGGTCTCTGGACGATACTATGACCGTTTTAGTCGCTGACACGCCAGGAGGATGGGTGACGGCGTGTTCCGCACTTCCCCCAAACAAGTCTGTCGTTTATTATAGCAGCGTGCATCAGTCGCCCCCCCCCCCCACACACAGTATCCGAGCGTGGTACATACAAGCCTGGACTCTGTCCCTAAGCAAAGCAGTATTTGACGTATACTCGTGAAACAGACAGCTTTGTTTGTGCAGTGATGCTAATATGGGGGTGCTATTTTCACGCCCGGATTTCAGGCGGGAGGGAGACAAAAGTGACACGCCTGCGTAGATAAGGCATTATCAGGTTGGTAGGAATGATGTGTGTCGGGGGGGGGGGGGGGGCGCGAAGAGGGGCAGGTAGCCGGTAGGGTTGGCTGGGACTGCGTTGGATTGGGCCAGGCTGCCAGGCTCGAACATGATCTCCTGCGGCTCGATTCACTCGCACTCACGTGCCATGAAAGTGAAGGAACTTGTCCAAAGCCCTAGAACTCGGCATCCGGACTCATGTCACATGAAAAGGGTGGACTTAGATGACGGCCGGGGACTCGGATTTCATTAACGATCATTATCATCATTAACAATCGGTCTTAACAATCCTGACGCCAAGCTACGCTCCCTCGTAACAGTCCCCAGGATCAGATGAAAAGTCAACCTGTTCAATGCAATATTGTCTACGTACCGTCGACTGTGCCGCACCCGCGACGAAATCCCCTGAAAAGCCCGGCAAAAACTATGCCGCGGTGCCGTTCCGTGCTCCTTCTATCTGCAGCTGTGCCGAGCCGGAGCCGGCTGTCGGCCGTCACGTCACATACATCCAGCACATGACTCATCGCACAACAAAACCGGGGGGCCGTTACGGAGCCGCCGTCGTCAGAGCACGCCTATCGCGCCTGGAAAGGTGCCAGTTTTTCTGTGTCGCCGCCGCCGGAGCCGCCCGGCTGGCTGGCGCGGGCCCGGCGGCGCGGAGGGAGGGGGCTGGGTGGAGTGGGTGTGGGGGGGGGGGGCGGGAAGCGGGCGAGGATGCCGCTGGGCCGGCCGCCGCCGTCGTGAGCCGTTTTATCGAACGGCGCTGCGTTCCAGCCGCCCTGGAGCACATCCGAGCGGTGCGCGTCGACAAGCACAAGAGCTTCGCGGCCGAGCATGACATGCTGGCCTTCCTGGTCTCTGCGCAGAGTGGCGAACACGTGAGTCTGCCTTGGTCACGGCGCTGTCCGTGGAAGCCAGCCAGGGTTGTGGACGTGAGCGCGCGTGTCCACCCTGCTTCACCTTTTGCTCCACGGAGCGCGGGCACAGGGCGATGACTCGTGGGCGCGTGTCCACCCTGCTTCACCTTGTGCTCCGCGGAGCGCGGACACAGAGCGATGAGCCGTGGGCGCGTGTCCGCCCTGCTTACTTTGTGCTCCACGGAGCGCGGGCGCAGGGCGATGACCCGTGGGCGCATGTCCGCCCTGCTCGCCTTTAGCTCCACGGAGCGCGGGCGCAGGGCGATGACCCGTGGGCGCATGTCCGCCCTGCTCGCCTTTTGCCCCACGGAGAACGGGCGCAGGGCGATGACCCGTGGGCGCATGTCCGCCCTGCTCGCCTTTTGCCCACGGAGCGCGGGCGCAGGGCGATGACCCGTGGGCGCATGTCCGCCCTGCTCGCCTTTTGCCCCACGGAGAACGGGCACAGGGCGGTGACCCTTAGCATGCACACCGCTTCTCACAAAACTTGGATTGAGATCTATACACACATGACTGTTACGTGGTCAGACTTCCGTTTTATCGAGTCAAGGCGGTCTTTCGTTACTGTGAAAGGGGACGGAGCGCAGTGGCACACAGAAATAACCGAAGCACGCCACCATTGTCTAAGCTCATGATCGTAGGTCGTGAACTGGGATCTGGGAGGGTCGCGAGCGACGCGGTTCATCCCGGGCCGCAGCACCCTCCCCCTCGCAATTCTAGAGGACAAACACGTAGGTCGTAAATAGCTGTCGGCTCCTGCTCCGCGCTTAAATGTGAACATGACTGTGCACCCGCAGACCAAGGGGCGTACGGGCCGGCACGCCCGATGCCTGTTGCAACGCCATTGGCGTGTTGATCAGCACGAGCTAGGCGGGAAAAGTGGCCAGGAAAAGCGCTTAGGTGTAGCCAAAATTGCAGCACGGCGGCTATCAGCGACATTCTTATCTGAAAACATGCTTAGGCGGGCGATTGCTTAATGGACGTGTTCACACCGTTTTTCCGGCATTTTTGAGTGAAGCCGTTAGGTGGCGGAGTGGCATGGCTCTAACCCGTGCTTGTGTCATGCGATCGATGGACTTAGCAAGAGTTCAGCTGGGTTATATCCCAGATAATTTAAATGGCTTCCAAAAATACACATCCTCAAGCGATTGATGGACTTATAAATGACGCGTGATTAATTCTGTTTGTGGGGATGTTCCCGCGGCCCTGCGCCATTGTTCCTGCAGTCTTTTTGACAAAAATCACCGGGTAATATCCGCACAGCTGTAAAGTGGCATCACATGCGTGTTACACGTCTCAAGATCAACGGCCGCACGTTTTCCGCAACACAAGTGACTTGCAATATCAAAGTGACCTCGCTGTATCGCCCGTGGCACCACGGCCGGCTGCGGTAATCGCAGCCGGCCATGGCGACCCCGGCCTCGCGTCTGACCGGCCCCGCCGCCGCCAGGTGGCCCAGGTGTTCCAGCACCTGGCGGCTGTGACGCTGGGCGCGCGCCTCACCCGGGCCGACATGGAGCACGTGACGCCGGTGGTGCGCGCCCAGATCGCCAAGCCGCGGCCCGAGACGGCGCTGCCCCGGCCGCCCACCGCCAGCAAGATGCGCGTGTCGTCCGAGCTCTGCTGCCTGCAATAGGCCGGCCGACTGGCGCCCCGGCGGGGGAGGTGGCCTGCTGGGCCGTGCGCGTGCTCCACTCCGTTCCGGGTCCCGCTGTTTCGCGGGAAGGCGTCGCGGTGCGGCGGCGGGGCGCGTCCCACCGAAACGTCGCGTCAGGAGCAGAGGGGCCGTTGCAGAAGGCCCAGGTTCCGCCGGCGACTGCTGCTCGCTGCAGCGAAGACCGCTACGACCGGGAAGGGCGCTCGCCGGCGGGTGTGTGTCCAGTGCGGAGGCCGGCCGGCGTCGTAACGTGTCCCGACGGTGGCGTCACGTGCCACAGGTCACGGGTCGACAGCCGGCAGTCCGTGCCGGCTCTCGCGGCGTGGGTTTGGGAGACGGCCGGCTGTGTGGGGCGAGGGGGGGGGGAGCGGTTTTGTGGCCGGGCATCACCGAGGTCACGCCGAAATGAGACCTGTACGGGTCGGCCGGTGTGAATCTCTGCGGGGGGGGGGGGGGGGGGGGGGGGGGGGGCGGAAGAGCCGGCCGGGCTCGGGGGGGGGGGGGTCGACCGTCGGACGCGGTCAGGACACGCCTGTCCCCTGCCAAGGGGATTGAGGCCGCTGACTCATGCCTGGTCCAACCGACTGCGCTGTTGCGGGGGCAACTGAAGCTGTGCTAAATCCGTCCCGCCGCGCTTTATGTGGATCTGCCCGGTTTGAGCGGGTACATTGCCCTAGCAGCTATTATTACTGGCCTTGCCAGTTTGTTGTCCCTTACATCGGATATATGATAATTGAACGTGGCTTGCTCCATTCGACTAGGCCGCTTCACTGCGTTTGAACCACTGCAAGTAGAATGCTTACTGTGTTATTGCTAGTCAGTATAAACAGCACTAACCAGCTCAAGCCGGCCTTGCAGATGTACTTGAATCATAGACATTACCATCTGGTTTTGGTCCATGCACTTTTGTATTGAGGTGGTTGTGAAGACAGACGCGTCCAGTCATTGGTATGTTTTGTGGTCTGAGTTGTTGTGCTAGCGGCCAAGAGTTCACGATTTTGCGTGCACATGACTGTGTATGCTGGTCCGAAACTATTTTAGATCACGCATATGTTGGTGCAATACATGCGGTTGATGACTGATCAGCAATTTCGACGCCCTAAACTTTTCGAGAAACGTGAAGTGAGAGAGAAAGGGTGTGGTGTGAAGGCGAACAAGCATACGGCTCCAGCGCATCGGTGCGACCACCGTTCGTACCATAACTGCGACAACACTCAAGCAACTGCGTGGAAGGTGAGCGCGCGACGGGATCGCTGGACTGCGTCTTGGTGAATGGGTCTTCACCGTGCGAAAAACATCTTCTCCCTTCACTTTTCGGTGGATTTCCGCTAAGGTTGATTAGGCGTCTGCGGTCTTACCGGAAAGTTATGAAGTTCTTTGAACTGGGAAGGCGAGTAGTGAGCCGATCCTGGTAGTTATCGTCAGCAACGCAGGAACCCAGGATGGGATGCTGACCCAATCATTTTCCGAAAACTTTACGTTGGTCTCGTACGCGATGACTGAAAGAAATGGCGAAAAATGACGATCAGGCCGCCAAACCAGCGAGGTAAAACTTCCTTACCCACCGTTTTCACGTGACCGAAAATGACAAGAATCTAACAAATTTCAAGAACCTCTAACTTTGGTCGCTTTTTTGGACATCGATAAAGTTATGCCATTCGCTGCACATGTAGCTCAGAAGAACGAAACGAAGGCCGATAATGAGAAATGATAAGACATATTCGTGGGTTAGTCCTCCATCCCTCTCCCTCCCTCTCTCTCGCCCCTAAACCATTGACCTTGAAATAATTTCCGCTTGTGTTTGGCAACAACCTTGTCGCAAAATTTCATACGCGACATTTCAATTTTCCCAAAAATATGGAAATTTTAAGCAATGGAGCACCTAGATTATACTTTTTAAACTTCTTCACCCATTTGCTAGCAAATTGACTTTTTTCTCACCGAAAAAAGAAGTTTCTTGTTTTGTACTACTTGTGTGCGTAGTTCATCAGCTGTTTTCATGAACATGAAAACAGACCATTACGGCGCGCGCGACCACAACACAAAGCTAGTCGCGGTGTGCGGGTGGACGTTTCTGTGACTCATGGGGTACTTGTATCATCGTGGGGCCACCCTGCTGTGGCGTGAAAACCCATCAATAGTCGTAATACCTGGGAAAGGGGAGATAACTGCCCGTATCCTAGTCGTGTTGGATGAACTGCGTGCTTGTTGTGGAGTTGTGACTTGATTGCGGATCGCGTAAGACAAAGAACAATGGGGAACTGCTTAAAGGCTCAAGCAGCTGATGACATGTCACTGCTTCCTGGTGCGGATGTGGGAAGGCTGTCAGCATCTTCTGATCAACTTGGGATTCCTCCCTCATATGCACCTGAGGTAAATTCAGTGGTGCGTAAGCAACACAAGCGTGGTATGCTCTTTTTGTTTGAGTGGGGGGGCTCTATAAACCCCTTTTCCAAAAGTCAGATTGGGGAAGTTCTAGTCTTTGTACTCATACCACTTAAAATTGTTAAGCATGGCTATAGCCCCACCTGATTTCATTGCAATTGATAGTCTTCATTGCTTATGAGGTTATTAGCAATCAGTCACCTGGTCAATACATCTATGCACCATTCTGAACAATTTGCTTTTTTGAAGACATGAACACACATTGGAAAATGGCAAAATGTATAAAACAGGAAGCACCAGGTGTGGTGGATTCTGACAAATCCATCTGTTGTGCCTGGCAACTACATAACCGTGGTGCATCAAGCCTCACTTTTGCACATGCCTGGCTCGGGTGTGGTCAGTGTACATTACATTTCACTTCCTGTTTTGTTAGAATTGTCTGTTCAGTAGCTTTGCCTAAAGTGATCTTTGTAAACTTATGTTTTCATGAAACATTGGCCCTGTGCACTGAAATAAGTATGGAACATACATGTAACAGGGAGCTTTCCAGTTTACAACCTACAGATTTCCAATTCCTATCTCCTGAAATTGTCATTGGGATTTTGCTTTGTGCTGTGCTGGATATTTTCAGAGTACCTTGTATCCTCACAGTCTGGCCTTGGGACAACATTATGGTGATATTTTGTTTTTTGTTTAGCACATTTGGTGCTTACTGACTGTTTTGCTTGATGTATTTTGTTATTCTTGTTCAGAGCTTGAGGGAATGATAAGTATTTTGGGAAGTTTTTAAACAAAGCCTTGTATACAACATATACTTATGTCTGTAAGGCAGTCTGCCAAAATCTGTCCACTGTGCTGGATGTCCATACTTAAGTGCAGTGAACACATTGCTCAGGTGTGCCAGGTGTGTGTCAGGTCAGGGTGTGCTGGGTTTTCAATGATCCAGAAATATTTCTTGTTCTGAGTATTTTAGTATGGAATGTGTGATTCCATAAGGAATTGGCTCTTGACTGCTAAAATTGATTTGACAACACCAAACTTGGCTGCACACTTAGATTTATGATATGGATATGCTATGCACACAAATGATTACTTGGATGCTGCTTCACCATATATGTTCAGTTTAAAGTGTGCATATTTTTACAGTTTGGTTTGGTGCTCTCATTCCTTCCTCATACCCATCAGCTTCAAGCTCTAAAGCAACAGTTCTGACCTTTGGTCAGGACCAGGTGCAAATTGCCCCTCATGTGACTGAGTGCTAGGCATTGTTTCATGCAAGTTGTACTTACTGCGCCAGATAATGTCAAGCTGGAGCATTGCAATACAAGATTAAGATTTATGGCAGGCATTTTTTATGGCTGCTGGTTGGAAACTTACCTGGTTTAATGGTTTTCATTTTGATACAAACTTCATGATGATAAAAGAACTGCCACCAACATACTAGTCCAGCATCACAAAATGTCTCACTTTCTCATAGTGGGATAACTGTAAGCACATGCATAATACACCATTCATCCATTTGACCAGGTTTCAGGGTCCTATATCATCACCAGCCTGTGCTGTCTGCCCACATGTGTTTCGTGTCAGCATATTTTCTTCCAACTTTTGTCACCTTCATTGTTCAAGGATGTCCCGGTCTGTATTGTGACAATTGTGAATGGTGCAGCGAACCTGAACCCTGACCTGTACCCTGACCCCTGCCGTGATCAGTGCCCCGACCGGTGTCCGGCTCCGTTCTGCAGGACCGTGCCACCGTGTTTTACCCGTCGCCGAACGTGGTGCGGACAGCCGCCCAGCTGACCGAGGAGGAGCAGGTCAAGATCGCCAAGCGGATGGGCCTGATCCAGCACCTGCCGTCGGGCACGTACGACGGAGCCGCGCGGAAAAACAAGGAGTGAGTGGCCGCGGTGTCGGTCGCACGCGGTACTCTCCTGTCACCCTCGAGGTGGCACTTCCCGGCGGGGGGAGTTTGTGGCGAGCCGTTCCTGTTTTTTTAAATGCGCGTGGGCATGCATGTGCTCATGTGCATTGTATCTGTCCTGAAAACAGTGATTGCACGTGGGATAGCTGTAGTCGCAATCAGCGATACGTCGCCGGTTATTCACGCGGTGGTACAATTCGCTCACTTCCTCCTGAAATGCACTGTAACATGTATCTCGGGCGCGCCGTGCTTGGTGTCTGGCCGGCCGGCCTGGGCTCGCCTCCGTCCGGCGCTGATCCGCTCCTCTGCCCGGCGACAGGTGCGTCATCTGCATGATCGAGTTCTCGGTGGGCGAGCGGGTGCGCTACCTGCCCTGCCTGCACACTTACCACACAGAGTGCATCGACGACTGGCTGATGCGTAGCTTCATCTGCCCCAGCTGCATGGAGCCCGTCGACGCCGCCCTGCTCACCAGCTACGAGACCAGCTAGGCGAGCGTCGGCCGCGCCGGGGCCGGGTGGTACGCGCGCTCGTGCGGCCCGGCGGGGGACGCGGGGTCGCCTGCGAGCGCGGCCCGCGGGACTTGGGCGCCGCCGCCGGAGGTGTCGGCCTGGGCCCTGCGCCGCGCCATCGGTCTGAGGCCGGCGGACGCTCGTGACGGGGGCATTGAGGCGCGGCGTGCGCGTCGGATGTGAGCGGGGCGCGGCGGGTGTCGTGGCGTCCCGGCCTGACTCCCTGACGGCAGCCGCGGCGGATGTGAGCGGGCGCGGCGGGTGTCGTGGCGTCCCGGCCTGACTCCCTGACGGCAGCCGCGGCGGATGTGAGCGGGCGCGGCGGGTGTCGTGGCGCCCCGGCCTGACTCCCTGACGGCAGCCGCGGCGGATGTAAGCGGGCGACCGCCGCCGGGCGCTGTGTGACAGCGTGGTGTGCCTCGCAGCCGGCGCAGCAGGGTGGGCCGTGGTGCGGTGTCGATGGGCAGCGGGCTGGAGCTGACGGGGGCTCGAAATGGCTGAAACGGCTAGCTCGAGCTCCCGTTGGGTGGAGCGTAATTGGAACGTCACTCGCGGGCGCTCCCAGGCTGAGGATTTGTGGTCTTTCTTCAGTTTTTTGCACCTCTCGAATGCTTCGTAGCGGCGTCGTTTATTTGTGTCTGTTAGCTATATATATATATCCTAACTCAGCGCTGTTAATGTGGACAGATCTCCCGCACGGTTATTCTCATTGCTTTATCGTGTTCGTGATAGAGTGGTGTGGCATGATGTGGCATCTCGGAGTGGTTTATGCTGGAGGAAGAAGCCAACGGCTGTATTATGGCTTCGACTAGTCGCAACGTATGGAACGGACATCACTGTACTGTGGGCAGTGGCATAGAGTTTTATTTATTTATACTCGACTCCTTTTATCGGTTCATGATATTTCCCTGGAGCTGTAGGCTGGGGTCGCTGGTTCTGATTGACGCCGGGAGTGCGTGTCGGCCTGCGAGCTGGCACGTGCGAGTGCAGGAAATCCCTGTGCGGCCACCCCGCACGCACTGGTGGCCAGCGGCGGCACGAGCGAGAGTCTTTCATAGCCCCGGGCGCGGCGCGGGCGCGCGCCAGGGGTGCGCCGGCCGCCGCCGCGTCCGCGTGAGTCCTCCCTTCCTCACCCTGTCCCGTCCCTGGCGTGCGTGAGCGAGTATGGCTGTGTGGGCTGGCTGCGGACGCGCCGCTGATGGGAAGCGACGGACGGCCCTGGGACGGCCGCACCCGCGGTCGCCCACTGTTTTGTGTACGGGACACGATCCTACGTAGTCGACGCGGCGCCTTTGTAGCCGGTTTCGTAGCAGAGTGGCACCGGAGATGTAGAATAAAGTGTACCTGAGGACGGGCGGTGTGGGCAACGTGTCGCGGTCCAGCGCCGCCCTCCACGGCCAGGCAGCGCTTGTTGGTCAGCCGGGGCGCTTTTGAAGCTACCCGCGGCGGCGAGTTCAGATGCAAGTAGAGCATTCCAACCCCACATGCTGGAGAAGACTAGGTTCAACATCACAATATCACGCCATCTTGTAATTGTCCCGCCTCGATCTAAGGCAAGGTATGTTCTGTTGGCAGCCGGCTGCTGTCGGTCGCGGTCGACCACGCACATTCGTCCAGATTTTACGGAAGCCAACTGACATGTACCGGATGACTTTGACTCCCGTCCGTTGATAATGAAATAATCACGCCGACACCCCAGGACAGGCGGACTGACACCGAGTCTTGCGTACCGAACGCAGGCGTGAACGAGCTGAGGGAGGCGCTGAAGGCGAACTAATGCGGTCGTGTGTGGTAGTGCCCTTATCCGAGACGGCTGTCGGCGGCTATCGCAGATTAAGCGTAGTTGCGTATGCGTCGCGTGTTGGTCTAGTCTAAGCCTGTGAGGTTACCGACAGATATGCCGCCACAACCATGTGACTTCAGCGGAACTCGTTTCCACGGTGCAGTAGCAGACCTGCCTAACTAAACAATGCGGCACGACATCGCGCGTTCGTCTGTAGAGTCGTTCTCCGTATGGCCGGACGGAAGGTAAAGTTGAGTCCACACAGGCAGGGAGAGAGTCGTGATCAGTCATCAGCTAAGGTCAGGCATGATTCGCAGGAGGGTGTACCGCCGTACATCAAGGTCGACCAGATTTTGACGCACAGGCAACCCGTTGAGAAGATGGCAACGCAGATGGCTTTTGACGCACAGGCAACCATTGAAGATCATGGACAGAAGCCTTAACAGATGTCTCGAGAGTCTTGCCGGGCTGTTTCGCAGTAAGTGCGGTGTCAGCGCTTCGACTGCTACTAAGTGCGGGCGTCGTCCGCCGAAGTATGAGTTGAGGCACGGGTATGGTCGTGAAAAAGAGCACCGGCCTTCTGCCCACAACGTAACTCATTCCTTGGCCGGTAATGTGAAGTTGTGGCAGCTACAGTGGCCCACTGGCCACCGTGTCCTGTCACACAGGCCTTGCGCATTACCTCCTCAATCGCCACTTCTCGTGTTCTCGGAGGTGGCGCGCTAGTCAAGCCCCGCCATTATATAGGTGGCAGCAGCAGCGGCGCGACTGCTTGCGCCGCGGCCACTGGCGGGCACATTGGTGCCTCCGGAGCTCGCGGGGATGGGCTCACTATGTGCACTCTCATACTGCGTTTAAAAGAATATCAAATCTTGCAGGACGCAATAAAATGATTATCCTCTTGTGATTATCTGACAATATCATAGTGATGAATGATCAGCGAAAATTGACACCAAATGTATTCCAGAAGTGCAAATGTACTAGTTTTTGAACAGCATATGGCCTTCCTCCACGTACGTTCTGGTCGCTTGGACCCAGATTCACTTTGGCTGTTTGAGGAACTCTAGGGTTTTCGTAATTTCCACCGCTGTCAGCGTCACGTCTCCGTTTTTGCTGCCGTGAGGCTGCTACGTTCCTCCTCCTCGTACATTTCATCGCACTGCTCGTTTTTTGGGCATTTCGCGGCCACCAAGCCTTTTGTATTATCGGCAGATAACATCCTTATTTCACTTTTTGATGTGCTTTTAACTGGTCTCACATGTTCTTGATGGTCGCGTGGTACAACTGCTTCGTTCCGATTATCTGTTATTCGCAGGTGTAAACATACAAATAATTTGGCGAAAGCCATTTTCACGTAAACGTCGAGCCTCGTGCCCACAGTATGGCAGCCAGGCAATGCATTTAAGTATTTTGCTTCCTTGTCTAAGCCTGCTTCGCAGCTCTACGTGCAGTGGAGCCGGCGCCCCGCCGCCGACACCGGCCGGCCGCGAGGGGTCGCGCGAGCCGTGCGTGCGACGTCGGGCAGCAGTGCGTGCGCCGTGCTGGGCAGCGCCTGCCCCGCGTGCGGCCCCTCGCTGCGTGTGCTCAGGTGGCCGACGGCGCGCGCGAGTCAACGGCCGCATGCGGTCTGCCCAAGTGCGGGCCGGGCCCGGCTGGCCGCGAGTTTATCTTCCCTGCCGGCCGCGCGCCCTCCCCTGCTCCGGGCGGCGGCCGTGCGATCAATACGGCGCTTCGCCGACCGGCCGCCGGCGGCGCTAGCGTCGCCGCCCCCCGCGCCCCGCCGCCGCCGGCGCCCTCCTGGTGGGGCACATGAGACGCTGGTCCGCGCCGCCCGCACGATGCAAAACGCCAGTTCGTTATCATAGGAGGTAACTGTTTGGAAATTGCTCCCTCCGTAATGGCACAATGTTGTAAATAGCGTAATGAATGAGCCCCAATGACGCATGGTCGGCTGGCCAAATGTTTGAACTCGCGTCGCCATGACAACCGGCATACACACAGGTGCTACCCGAATCACCGGAACCAAGTTGGCTTCAAATTATAAATTGCATCGGAGTCTACGACAAAGGCGACATTCCATGACCACATAAACATCCAAATTGAATGGGCGAAACGTGACCGCGAGCAAGCATAGCCCGCCCTCAGCGCGGCGATTGTCACTGTCCTCCGCGTGCCGCACAAGCTGAGCCACGCGTGCTGTCGTAGCCACTGCATCGGAACGGTCGCCATGTTCAGAGCGTGTCGCCATTGCCACGGAGCGGCACGCGGCGCGCAGCTGGTGGCGCCGGGTGGTCCGGGCCGACGGTTTGTAGCTCTGCGTGCCGGCCAGCCGACGGCCCACGCGGCGGCCAAAGCCACCGCCGGACAGGCGCCGTACAGCTGAGCAGGTGCTGAGTCAGTCACCATGCAACCCCGGGCCGCCGCCATTCCGGCCCGAGCTTCAGGAGCGTCGGCCCTTTGACTCGCACGGCGTGACGGCGCACGTGCCGCCCTGCTGCCCGCCGCCCACTGCCCGCCGCCCCGCTGCCGGCTGCCGACGCTCGCTAGCGGCGGGCAGCCGCTGGCGGGTGGAGACCGTCTGGCGTTTACAGACCAGCCGGGCCTCGCGCCAAGCCTAGCGCACACACAGCGGCGATAGCGGCCGGCCCTGGGCTCGTAAAATCGCAGCGGCGCCCTGGCGCGGGCTGCTGGTGGGCCGCCGTGACGACCAGCGGCGCCCCAGCAGGGTCTGCTGTGTTGGGCCACCGGTGACGACCAGCGGCGCTCCAGCAGGGTCTGCTGGTGGGCCACCGGTGACGACCAGCGGCGCCCCAGCAGGGTCTGTTGGTGGGCCACACCGGTGACGACCAGTGGCGCCCCAGCAGGGTCTGCTGGTGGGCCACCGGTGACGACCAGCGGCGCCCCAGCAGTGTCTGCTGGTGGGCCACCGGTGACGACCAGCGGCGCCCCAGCAGGTCTGCTCGCGGGCCATCGGTGACGATTCGTCTTCCGGTGGGCGGAGAGGGTCAGACTTGGGCGCCGGCAGGGTCAGCTGAAGATCTGGTCTGTACGACATTTTTGGACCGGTGGAGCACACTTTGGCTGTGATGACTAAGTCATGTTGACGCGCATTCATCGCAACTCCGCCTTCTGCTCTTGCCACGTGAAAAGTACGCAAAATGTTCGATACGTGACGTGTGCTGGCCCAAACCTCGTGCCTCGGCTGCTGGCTGGCGCGGTTTCTGGCGGTGGCGCCGGCGTCGGTGCATTAGGACTTTTAATTT